AATTACGGTATTTTTTATTGCTTGTGAGGTCATTTGGACATTTTGCTTTTCAAGGCAAAAGGATCACGGCAGTTACAGGCAATTATTTTACAGTTGCAGCAGAAATCTGCAACCACAAACTGAATGGTGTGGTGCAACAAAATTGGGGATTTGAAGGATTTCATATTTTCTTCTGATGTCAGCATATGGTCCAATAAAAATATCCAACGATTTTCGCTCAAACTCTACAGAGATCAGTTGACTAGAACTATTAACGACGAGCAGTAAATCAGGCCATCAGAGACAGTTTCATAACGCACAACAGTACTCCCATACGATTTGACGAATTTCCTAGCGTTGACGGGCACTGGACAAATCGTTCGCAGGAGTGAAATTGGGTCATCCTAAAAGTCACCATTCGTAGCTTCCAACAATTCGTTTTCTCTTGGATTCAAATACTTACCTCGAGAACTTTTTAAGACTGTTGGTGGTAGCCTACACAAGTTGTATTTATTTGATCTCATTTTTTATTATCTAAAATTTCTAATTTATCATCACACCGTTATTTAGAATCACGGTAATTGAACATGTTTTTATGCTATTGTATAAACAGTATACCTACACATTTGTACATATTTGTGAGCTCCAAACAGTACTGCGCAAAAATCTATCCAAGTCATCTCATCTCATCTCGTTTAAAGCATTTGCATACTATAAGGATTTATAGCCCATTATTATTAAATTTATTAATATTATCTTGAGCATGAATATTAGGTACTCTGTTCAGCGGAACGTTGATTGATCCATTTACCTGTTTGCCTCTACCGCACGCACGCAAGTTGTGGGCGCGGAAGTTCAACGTTATTTGGATGCATAATTGTGTGTGTGTGTGTGTGTGTGTGTGTGTGTGTGTATGAGTAGCTGGTTCGATAACTAGCCCCCGTGTGCCATAAACAGTGTGAATGGAGTGATAAATCACTCGGAAGAACAAACGCCACCTTGGTAGCCAGAAACAGAGAGAGAGACACACTTTTCATCTGATATTAACGCGAAAATCAACAGCTGTTCCAGGTTTTGTTTCTTATCTCAATCCCGATTGTCCACACCCATGCTCATTACTTCCGTTTGCTATCGGGAAGGGTGAAACGCATTCCCGTTTATTCAGGTTAAACGTGAATCGTATTGCGCTGTATAACATGGAACCGACTAAGGTTTATTGTTATCCCGTTAATTGTGGTCAATACGTTACTAGAAATTCTTTTATTTTCCTAAATGTACTTCCTAAAATGATATAGTGTTATATAGTTGGAGATACAATACATGACCCAGTGGAGTTAATGAACTTGAAAGTATGATAACCAATGAATTATTTCCCCTTTCTCGACAAAAAGAATCACTGATTCGCTCTGTCACATTTATTATCGGGGTCTGTTGCGTGGAAAAATACCTGTTTCCCCGTTAATTTCCTCATACAAGAATAAATTCACCAACAAATGGACTCCACACAGATGATGGTAGTCTTCTATCATGAAAACCAACTCTATGAGATACAATCTGGACAACCGTCGGATTTGATTGGAAGCTAAAATGTGAGCAGTGAAAGATGTGTGATCACATACAGAAACAGACAGAGACACAGTGTGCGTGAGATAGTGAGTGTGGACGTGGAATAGAGCAAATAACTATAGTCGGTCCATATTGTTTGCGAAACGATGCTGCTCAGTATCTGATGCGTGTATTTTCTCCCAGGGAAGTCACTAATACCATAAAGTGTTATCTGTCCTCACCCACTGTTGCAATATCACGGATTCACACAGGATATTGTTGTTTTGTTCACAGTGGAGATCATCATGGACCTGGATAGTTATTCGAATAACGGTTTGAGTAGCCAAACCAGACCTATCCGGAAATCGTCTGATTCAATTCGAACTGTGGTTCAGCGCATCGTCAAAGAACTTGCTGCTTCGGAGTACTGTGGGATTTGTGCACAGGTCAAAATTTGGGGTTTTTACAATTTCGTTAAAGGATTGGTGCGAACCAAATTGCCTGTGAATGAAATCGAAGGCATATTTTCCCATATTTTCTACCCTCGTTCTTATTGTCCGTTCTAGAACGTGGAACAACTTACCAGTAGATGCTCCGGCCAGATTGCTCAAATCCACTTCAGCACCAATCAGAGAGAATAGAATGGGTTGTACAAACCACCACACGGCAGCCAGTGTCTGTCGCATTGAATTCAAACAGGCCAATCCACGCTCCTGTGGTGTGGCAGACAACGGGGAGTCTTCATTGGGGTTTGGCAATCCAGACTGCTCCTGTTGATCTGCATCCGCATTCGAATTCTGTTCACCCAGTTTGTACAGTTTCATGGGTTGTGTAGCCGCACCGATCTCATCTTCGCACTCGACCAACTCTTCCAGTTTGTCCACAGGTTGATTGCACACAGCCGCGTATTGTTCACGAAAAGTTGGAGAGACTTCGGGGAATGAAGCACACGGACAGTCTCAAATCACAAAGGGAAAAACACACACAGTAGCGCATGATACACATAAGAAATGATAGACAGAACGACATAACTGTGTACGCACTGTGCGTACGAGGAGAGAAGCGTTAAACGGATTTGTGTTCACTAATCAGGTTAACAGCTGTGAAACTGGTAGACTGCACACACTTTGAACTCCACGGAAAAGCCTTCAACTATTCACAATTGTAGTTTCCTTACGCATGTTAGAAATCATAACCGATGCAGGTCCGCTGATACCATTAACTGTAAGCTAGTTGATCTCTGCTCCAAAATTGAACTGACAACAGAAATGGCGAGGTGAGGTGGGATGTAGATCATGTGCCTAAAACTGACTATTGAAACCTACTCGGATGTGCCCAAGAGTGGTGCGTCCGACCCGCGCATCACATCACAAGCCCACACATTACGAGCCATCACAAATTTGACGTACAAGCATTACCGTCGACAGTAGAATGACTGGAATGGCTGTAGAAAATGCATCCAATACTTCTCAGTGATTTGGGTGATAGACGAATGTTGTGTTAGGCATACAATCCTAGCCAGTTCAACGTACACAAGACTAGTAGTGTGTGAGAAGACAAAGTTAACAGAAACCCGACCCAGCGGGCAGTATACGAGGTAGAACGGAAATATTTTTGACATAACGAATATTATTCCACCTCGGAAAATATTTTATTAGTGTTAGGGATGATATAAGAAATAGTTTGAGATTATCCAAGGGCAAATTTTGAAATTTGCACACCATATCCACCATGTCCTAGATTTGTTAAAACCACTTACGTATACGTCGACGTGATCGTTGGGTTCCTTGTCGGCCGGAAGAGCGATCCGAAGGTGGACTAATACCACGTTGAAAAGATCCGGTAGTTGAGAAAGATTCCATCTCATAGTGTGCTGTTGGTTCGGGTAGACTGAAACGTCTTGAGGTACGAGAACGACTGCGAAGCTGAGCTCCTTGGCCGGATGTCACGTAACCGGAATCTTTCCGGCCCGTTCCCGATCCAGCAGTGGCCGCAACAGCAACAGCAATAGCGGGCAAATCTCCACCGGTTAATTGCCGTATAGACGATTTACCTGAGCCCCGATTACTGGTTGTTTGACTGGCACTGTGACGCGATGGATGAGCGCTGTATTGCTGTTTCAAAATAGAACAGTAATATGGATGATATTCAATAAGATTTTCCAAAATGTTTGAACTGGTTGAATCTTTGTGTCGTCCGGATCGTTGTGATGACATCGCATCGGTCAATCTGACCGAACCGCCAGTTTCGCGAATTGGTTCGGATTTAGAAGAAATTTCCAGAATGTTTGCTGTGCCACTGTCGAGTTTGTCTGGTTTGTTTTGTTCAGTTACATTGGACCCGGGACTGTATGTGACTTGTAAACGCGTATTGGGTGGTGGTTTAGTTAGGCCATCTTCTGAACCAGCGGGATCAGTATTGCTAGACAAATCGCCAGATGCATGCCCCAGATACGGTTCACTCGGTTGAGTGAAGCGCCATGGAAGACCTGCTCGCCAACCCATTGCTACAATGAAGGCCAGAGTTAAACATGCTAAGGCACCGGCACCCGGAAGATGCAATCCGACAGAGCCCACTAGACCGGTAACTGCCAGACAAATAAGCAGGATTCCTCGAATCAGATGCGAATGTTCCTACATGGGAAGCCACAATAATAAGAAAACAGGTTATCGGTGGCGAATCGTGATGAACAAAGCTGTTGTGATATTGTTCAAATGTGGATCCAGCACTGCTGTTATCTTGCTATTCATAATGTTATTTCACCTCAGTTATTTTCAACTCCTGAAACTGTCATTTTGACATACAAAAAACGGCTGATCATGGTACTAGTCTCAAACAGTGGTGTAGGAGGACAATGAAAACCCTTTAATCAGTTTTTAAAGATTGATACTGTGTGATTTTTATGTATTATTGTACCGGAACACTCGTTTGAACNAACCAGAGTAACGGCGGTCCGTAGTCGAATTTAACCACAAAAGCAACTTATGCGGTTCGTGGGACACTGTCTGACCAAAGAGACAGGTCACCGTCAGCGTCATCCATACATGGGCCCTGCGCGTGTGGGTGTGCACCTGTGTGTTGATGTTTCAAAAGCAAACAAATGATGTGACCTACTGAATGGGGTGGGGTGAGCGAGACAGAGCTGAACTGCACACTCGCGGTCGCGCACTGCATAAACGTATGTTATGATTCAGCCAGCTTTCCTATGGGGACGACCACTTTACTGGTGAATCAACAAGCAGTTTGGAAAAAGTTCCGAGTAGCGAGCAGTCACTCGTCACCTTGATACAAAAATGCATGCATACAACATTTATAAGTAGTTGGCGAACCCCGAATAAGTAACCAGAGCTGAACATAAGGACCGATTAATCAGATTTTAACCCATTGTGGTACTGAGTAGAATTTTTAAGATGTTTATCTCAAACCCGGAAGAAGAGTCGGTCACACCTGTCTTATATCTGGGCAAAAAAGGGAAATTAACTGGCCGTGCGTAGAAAAATGTACCTTTAGAGTTGAGTCACAGCATAATTTGTAGGTGTACACAATTGCGGACAAGTTAAATTCTGTTTCATCGAGAAATAAATCCGTGCACAAAAGAAAGGCCTATTAGTCAAGGGTTCCTAGTTGATATGAATTCATCTTCAAAAATAGTTCGAAAGGCTTGTAACTCCACGTCATTCTCCAAGGTTACTGGATGATCTGCTCCGAAATGCTCCTTAAATTCAACGGCTATTGATCCGCTCTATATGAACAATAAAGTAAATAAACAAATCTGCTCTCAGGGTCAAACGCTTTTGATAGATTACAAATGAGCGGATCAAGGGTTAGAGAGGGAGGAGGGAGGGAGATAACTTGGATGATATCGAAATGTCCCAAAAGTTCGCAGATAACAACATTTTCAGAACGGTAAACAATTGTGTTTAAAATTAAATTCCTTTTGATCAGACATCCCGTCGGAGTGGGACAGAACCAGGGAGCACTTACCAGTTTTGGTGGCGGGAATAAGCAGAGCAACGATCCGACCGAGGCACCGAAGGCTGCACCGCACAAAGCTTCTGCTGGACCCCAGAACAATGTGGCGGCCAAATTCTCACCGGTGGATAAAGCGACAGCCAAGGCAACTCCGAATCCAGTTATGGCGAGCACATCATCCAGACTGGATGCGGCTACTACAAGGGTGGGAATACCTTCGGCAACACCCCATCCCGCAACCTCAAGTCGCATCATGTTTGGCACAATCACAGCCGGTGAAACGGCCGCACAGGCAAACCTGGTGTGATTTGTGATAGAGAATCGGCCTCGGTAAGTCAGAAGACACGCATCCAGTGACAAAACAACAGTTCTCGTTCGCCCCCCACAACGTATGGGTTCATAACACAAAGTACTCTGTTTCTACAGGGTTTTCTGAACTACACAAAGGCCTAAATCAAGATATTCATATTGCAGGAACATAGTTAAGTGCAGGTGTATGGTCATACAACGCATGACTAAATCAAAGCGAATTTAATTTTGACAGAAACCATTGGGATATTTGTTGCTTAACAACTTCCACTTGATTGGGTAAAGAGTATAACAAAATGAACGCACGCTGTGAGGCTTGTTGTACTGTATAAAATGTAATAAAAAAGAGAGCGTAAGGAAACCGTTTCAACATAATTTTGAACGCAGTTACGACTTGGAGCTGCGCAATTTCACCACATATACTTTATGAACACGGTTACCCCGGGGTCGGTGAGAGGAAGGCACGGAATAGTTAGACAAACACATTTCCAGCTATATCTGCATCATCGTTTTTTATGTTCGTGTTCATCATTTGTTATTATTGACTGCTATTTGNCCTGGTCCACCATACCCGCACTGTAGATGCCAATCGAGGTCGCGAGTCGTCCATCGACCTGAGCATTGGTAACTGTGGCTCAACATCTGCTCTACCCGAGATTGCACGAATTGTGCCTGATAGTAAATTGAGTGAGTCAAAGACGTGCCCTAAATTACCTACGAACGAATGTTGCGAATTCTGACAGTTGAGTGTGGTACTGAATCACATGATAAGTGTGCATGCACTGTAGCTCCCCCGCTCCGTATCCTTCTCCCACTTCAGCTTTTCATCTATCTAAACTCGCCCCATTAGAAGCTTGTAAGAGAACATTTTACACCCGCTTGTTGGTCCAAAATGAGCACACCACAATCACTCGTTTTTATGCTGTGCAAATATATTTGCAATTGCTACCCTTTGACTAATAAACTGCATTCAGCTAGCGAAATCGTGAACATACGTTTGCACCTTTTCTTCGCTCCACGAATCGATCAGATGAAGATTGCCAAATGCATCGTGTTCGCCTTTTTTATTCATCTTCATACAGAATCCATATTGTTGAGGTAATTTCAATGTTTGTTAACAATGTTAAACACGACTGAAAGAGTAGCTTCACCACTGACCTCCTTCCGCTGACCTAAGTCCCGCTTCTTTTGTATTGCACAAGTCGATGAATCCCTTTGCTTAGGGTTATTTGATATACACTTTGGAAAATCCGCAAAGCGGAGAGTGATTTCACGGTCCGATGGGTTGATCACATTTCCAAGCACGTGACAGTTGTCGCCCGTTTTCCCGTAGGTACTACGGTTTCAGTGATTCGTTTGTTCGTCCATCCATCCATCCATCCATCCATCCATCCATCCATTCATTCATTGATTTGTATTGATATTACCAATACTCCCATCGAAACACATACATACACACTCACACGCATACACCAATTAGATTTACAATTCGCTGTTCCGTTACTAATGGAATTCACAAGGATCGGATCTTTTTAACAACTGGAAAAGATTGAATGTCTATTTACTTTCTGGTGTTTGAGCCAAGTAAGCAAAACGTATAGTCCGGTGTCGTACGCCAATGAGCGTACAAAAATATAAGTTCAGTTGGTTTTTGAAAGTAGTATGCATACTATATAATGCAATTTGCCGAATGAATATAAGACCCTGTTGATGTCTGTCTTTGAACCAAAACGCCAAAATTTTCCTGCTCAAAGTCTCATTTAATCGCATTCCGCCGCGAGAAGATTGATCAGAAGTTTTTTCTGGCTTTTTCAAGTAAGTGAAGATATTTTTACCGGTCCGTTCTATTTGCGATGAAAAGTTGTGAGTGATGACCGATAAAAAGCACTGGATAGCGCTATTTCGCCCACGTGCAGATTCGTCAACAGTGTGCATGACAGTACTGTGTTCCCTTCATGGGGTTCAGAGCCACAACCTTAATACTAGAGCAGCAAGAGTGGCGGAAACAATTTCGCACTGGGCTGGGCGGCTGTACAAATCAAACGACGTAACCAATAGAAAAGTATTTCAAAACACATTTATACTCTCGATAAAAATGGTCCAAACGGAAAGATAGTTTCTTATCTGGGGTTTTTCGATAGATATGCCTAAGATGGCTCCTCAAGGGTACCGTCTGTCAGGTATTGGGCTAGTAAAACTGGTTTCTAGGGTATTAAGTTCTCCCACAGTAGTAGAAATTCTGGACACCTATTGGGAACGGAATATCTGGCCAAAATTAACTACTACTCGTTACGTGAAATTCCCATTTTCTGGTACATTCCATTTGGTGCAATAAATCAATGCGCTTTGGGCATTATATCAGTAGGCGCCCAGCTGATGATGTGCATCATACAATCTCCATACAACTGGCTTTAGGAACAGGTTTACTCACACAATCATGATCACACACAAACAAATAAACTAATATACACATGCTTCAAATTTTGTCTCCAGTCGCATAGGTATAGCAAAAACAAAACAGATAACCAAATACATAGTTTTAGTCTGAGTGTGTGTGTGTGCGTGTGTGCGAATGATGTGTTTTCATTAACTTTGGTCCGTCTGTGCAATCTCAAGTGTATTATGCTTACGACCTAGACAAATAAATATGACAACCACTTGGAGGTGGTTAACTGGCACTTCAAACGACCAACAAAACGCATGGTGGAATCGGAACTGAAAGTTTTGGCGGACGAATGCGTATTGATTTGATGTTATCGTGCATCTGCTTCTTGTGTTTAGTTGAACGGTTCTCAGTTTGTTTTATGCCCTTATTCTGATCGATATCAACGAAGCCGGGGGGAAGGGGGATCCAAATGGGCACTGGTTGTTCCCTACAGGTTCTCATACATCCAGTTCCCAATAGAGAGGGCACATAAGAACAAGAGGTAGTAGATTTACAGAGCAGATTGAATTTGACTGTTTCATTTTATTTATTTTTGCCTGTTTGCAAACGTTCCATCTATGAGCGAGATAATATCTACAGTAAGTGTGAAATAACGGTCCTCTGCTTCGGTTCATTTCCTAATAGGGGTTCTTCAAAGGCTCCGTTTTTTTGGTTTGCTCTTTGCGTTGTTCTCAATCCAATTTGTTGTTGGACAAGCACAGAGTACTGGATATTTACCCGTCTAGAGTTAGTTTCTGTGATCCTTTCTCAGGTCACCGGGTAACTTGTNCCCCCCCCCCCCCATTTGAGTCACATTGACACGTACCAGTGATTTAGTTCGATGTGTTTGTTAACTGAAGTGATCAAAGAATACCAGGCCCCGAGAAACTCTGCTTGCTTCGAACGGGGCTTCGTTGACGATTGCCTTCAATCGGAATCCTTCGTGATCCTCATTTAGTGCAATAGATGAAATTGGGTCATACCATTGGACAACGGATTAGTATTCACAAATCATTCATCAAAGTGTTTTCCCAGTTTGTCTAGTACGGTGTTTAGGCCTCTTTTAAAGTCCTTTCTGTAGTCTACGTTGCTGTTGTCTTTCCCCACAGTTATCTCATTCCACTCGGAAAGAATTCTCCGAAGTTAGTTGTTTGGTTTGTTTGCGAGTTGGAATGTCACTTCAGTTGATTGATGATGATGAATTACTGAGAATCAGTTAGTTAGTTACTCCGTTTTTCAGCACACTCCTTGGTAACCTTGATGACAACGATCAAAATCAAAGCTACATACACGGATCAAATCCCAAACTTCTAATCTGTTCAATCAGACTGCCATAAAATGTTTCGTCGAGGTAATTTTCCGAAGAACTGAGGCACACTGCAACGCAAACACATTCAACACAAAAAATGTTCCTTTAGGGTACTCACCAAAATATATCTGACCCACGGAAAGAAACTGACAACAGAGGAAGGATCATGAACAAGAACAACAAGCTGAAGGGGGACAAAATCACTGATGAATAGCACCCTGACAGAACATTGTGAATTTGATTACTATTTCACGCATTGCATCCATGGTGGTGGGGTTTACCCTGTTGTAACACACCAGCTTTCCGTTTTGCATCATTCAAGTGTGGTGGTACAGAACTGAGAATCGATTATGTGAACATACGTTCCTAATTGTTAAGCGAAAATAATGCGAAGGTCAAAGGTCACCTGAAACGGTCGGAGAGACGGAGTGAGTGTTCATGCACTTATTTATCAGGACCATGGTGGCAGTTCGGAGGTGATAGGTGACAGGTTGGTCCCCGAAGTCTGTAAAGTCACATAGGTCTGGATTATGACAACAAAAGTACAGCCTTAAAAAACTGTATACCCGGAATATTTGTTTGGGGTAGATGTGAATTTTTTAATCGGGTAAACAACATTTCTCAGAGTATGGCTCTATCACTGTTCGCATCGCGATGACAACTCACCCCAAAATTGCACCCCACGTCCATGGCCAACCGATCAGAAAACGTGTGACTAACATGAGAGCAGCTGCCTCTGTAACACAAGGAATGATGGCCAGGCGAAATACACTGCCACAGACTTGTTTCAATGTGGTCGGATCCAGTCCGAGACCGGCTCGACTGAGAATTGTGGTCAGTGCCAGTTGTCTTAACACACCAGATAGACTGGGGTTGACAAGGAGCAAGGCAGACATTTGTGTCCAGGGGTCGTTCACAGAAAATAAGGCTTTATCGTCCGGTATCCAGCTGTTGTTTGTATCGATTGGATAACTTCCGTTCGGTATGGTACTCTGATGATAGATTTTCTCCGGAATGAATAGGGACCCAATGTTCCGCAAAGCGAGACCACCAAGGAGCATACCTGTTGAAATGATAAATAAACAAAGCCAAAAGGGAGGAGTCTACTGTCAACCAAGAACAGACTATTTCTGATGCTAGGAAACTGTTTTCCTTAATTATGTGTGCTCCAGCAGTGCTATCAGTTCAAACGATTGGTTTTAAGTTGAATGGAATAAGAATCTATATGTCGCTGTATTGTTATTCTTAATACACATTTTTTACGACAAACTCTGATGGTTGAAACAATATAGAATAAACTAGTCAACAAAACTTGTGGCAAGAAACCGCGGAAACCACCAATGGAAAAGTATTTATATTAACTTATAGTCAAATGGTTTCAAACCTTTACATTACTTCAAACAAAACAACAGAGTGGCGAACAAGCTCGTTTTCAGAGATTCGTATTCATGTCAATACTTCTCAATATATAACGCTACCTGGGAGTAAAATTATCTTGAGAAAATAAAACAAAGTAAAATCACTGATTAATAGAAACGATTTCATCGTGAGACCGGAAATCAGGTTCACCACGATTGCATATTTGTTTGTCCACTCATCCGATCATCGAGATTACTCGCGATACGGTGTGTGGTGTGGGCCAGGAAAGCTTTAGCGCTCTAACAAATTGCTTTTGGGCACACAGAGGGGGGTTGTACAGACGAATGATCACCTATTCTGCTGCATCCAGCATCCGACAGCGAACCTCCCTCGACAATAGCACACGAACTTTATACAGGGGTCGGAAAGCGTCAGACACGTCCGTAGTGTGATTTGTTTCTGCTAGGCGTGAAACCACTGCACTAGTGAGTGACTTAATCGTTCCGGTGATCAGCCACGCAGGGTGGTGTTCACGAATCCATTCGGATAATCGCCTGACCGTGTGGCCTATGCATGTTGTTCCACAGGAACAAGTAGATGAGTAAATACATAAGTATACGAAGAAACAACTTGGCCCTAGTCTGTGATCACGCGGAGAGACAAACGTTTTTCAAACTTGTGTTTTTATACCGGTTTCTTCCGAAAGATCTAGTAAACGATGAGGCACTGTGACCACAGGCTATGTTTTCGTCCCTTTGGATTACTCATCTCCGAACAGGCACAAAACTCAACCGGTTTGTATCACCATTTCGTGTGGAGAAAGTACCGGACGCCAATAGGCGCCCAGTCGATTGTGGATACTGTTCCAAATAAACGTAAAAGCATTATATCCAACTTTACATAAACTAGCCAGCACTACGGTGGCGTTCTTTCTTGGAGGCTAAACTGCTCGTTTCTTTATGAACTTGGTAATGTGAAGCCCTTCTGAATGTCAAAATTGTAGCCGTTCCGCTTAAAACTCATATTGTACTCGTTATGCTCGAAAAGAAGTCATGAAATCTGCACTTATGGTCTGTACTAAAATAAATTTTCAAACGCAATCAAACAATGTAATCCTATGCTTACTCTACACTGACAGTGGCCATTAGAGATTATTGGAAGATTGCAATAAACTACCACCGGAATCACATCGGCGGGAACAATTGACAACCATAGGTGGAGAGCATCGATAAGGGAGGAAATATTTCTACTGCAATTTTCAATACCATCGCGCACAATGAAGTTGTAATCGCTGTGATCACCTTACGAATTATTTGATTACTATATTCCCGTGGACCGTGATTCAGATCTGGTTATCCAGTTGCACCAATACCCCAGGATAAATAAAACTATCAGTCGGGCTACTGCAAAACAAAAAACTTAATCTTTTCTATTTGACATAGCACCGCCTGAACCTGAAGTGAAAGTACAAAAGGAAACACATTTGGGCATTGAGGCTAGATTATCCATCAGGATGTCCATCTGATCTGGAACCACATCGTTGAGAATGCTCGTTTTCTATTATTTTGTGTGATATCTTTCCGAACGGTGTTTTGTCAACACTGAAATTTTCCTGGCAAAATACCATGAAATGCAACAATTGCAGGCAATCACTTATCCTGCGTTCTTCGTTTCCAAGATCGCGAAAAACTCGAAACCGGCGAAGACTAGTCAACAGACTGATGCCTATACTGCATAGTTAAGGCAGTCTGTTTCAAATCATCATTGAAGAGCATTAGTGTGAGCACCAACGACATTTTTGTTTGCCAACAATGTTCATGTGTATGCACTGTATTCTGGGCTGTTCCTAAAATTTTTCGTGAATCATTTCTTTGTCGTTGTTGCACATCCCCCATCCGTAAAAACTTATGGAAATTAGGCCTCACCTTCAGGTTCATGGATTGTATTGTAATAACTTCTACAGGCCTGAGGCCTACAAATGGATCAAAGTTATCGAGCAGGTGGTGCATACAAATCCCGCGAATATAGATCACACTGTTTTCTCTTGCATGTGACATCACAGAAAAAACAAAAAAACAACAACAAGAACTGGACAAATGCAACCTGGATAGCAAGGAGAATTTGATGCATGTTCAATGCCCGGAGATGTGCACAGTCGAATCGATGTGTTTGTGTGTGTGTATGTGTGTCACAAACCGATTACGCAGCGGGCTGTGGGATAACTGGGCTTCCACAGAGATATAAAGGTATGAGGCAAACAGGGCTAAAAGAGAAAGAAAACTGCGACCCTAATTGGATACTCGGAAAGTCCGAGCGCGCGAGAGAGAGATGGAAAACTATAGAGAATTCGGTAATTAGAAGACAAATCCCGATGAACTGGAAGAGTGGTTAGTTTTGAATAATATTGTTCAAACATGTGACCCGGATGATTCGTACAGAAATCGCCACGCGTGTAACGCAACTTTACAACTGCAATAGGGGCATATATTCAGCTAATCGTGTCTATTAGTTGATAGGATCAAATCAATCAAAGTGGTCATGTCAGGAGATGAGAGCTAGAGATGAGAATACGTTCCAGTTTTTCAATACGATTTAATTTCCAAATTGTTCACTTGGAGCTCACATCGACAAGTAGGGAACTGTCACAAAACGATTCGAGTAAATCAGTCAATTAATCCAAACTCGTCACATTCGCTAGTAACTGACAATCAATGCAAAGATTCTGCAGTTAGACGTTCACTAACAGTCAGATGTAACTGAACACACTTGTCGATACGTACACCATAAGTGTTTATACCGCTAATGCTGTTACATCGTCGATGAACTGGTCTATTGTTGACATTGTCAAATTCAACCCCTGAATACAATTACATCCTCTACGGAGTTTTAGTGAAACAAATCCTTCAACTGCTAGGGAGGAAATCCCTCACGAACCAAAGGAATACAATAGAAACGGAAATGTTAAGCTAAAAACATGGAAAGTGTTGTGTTTGGATTTGGTGATTTTCATCAACAATGCGAATCTTTTGATCAAACAATAGACTGAACCCAAGATCTCAGAAATAGCATGCAAGAAAACAACCTTTTGACCAGTTCCCCCTTCTTGGCCACATCTGTTTCATCCTGTCTATGAACGGGAATCATCCTTGTAAGAATATTGCCCACATCTTACCTCACTCATCCTGCTGATAGCATTCTTTTGCTCTGTAAACAACGCAATTCACCACGTAATTGAGTTAAATTCTCCCTCCATCGATCCACTAAAATAAGATTAATTGAGTTATTGACGTGCTTGAGGAAGACATCCTTTTCTGACTTAACCTGTGTATATATCATCAAAAGTGAAAACAAAAGAACTTATTCTTTCAACAGATGACTGTGTGCGAATCAGCACCCAAGATCTACCGGTGTTCCAGCTTTATCAGGATAAATTAAAACGCGACAATCAGATCGAATTTCATGGTTTCACTTTTGGAATTTGTGCCCGCCCTTCTGATGGCAGCTTTCAAATCGCACGGTTCCAGTTTAAAAACTCCCCGAATTTAGCATTTTGGCAAATAACCAAAAATGCACAACCCACAGAACTACCGTGGTTGACACAACCACAGATGGTTAGTTGGTTTGTTGGGGACCAGCACGGTTTGTCGTGAGTTCTGATACAGTTATTGGACAGCATACTTAACCATATGCGGCTAATCTAGGTCCGAGCATCAACAATCAGCAATCATGGATGGTATTTCACACGACTGTCCATAGTAAAATTTTTGCATCAGTGCAGCATCTGGAGCCGTTTCTGGCTGATATCATCCTTGTAGATTAGGTTTGAGTGCCGATAAACAGGGACGGTTAGATAGAAAGAGTGAGAGAGAGCGCACCCGTAAGTCAAGAAAAAATTGACCAAAAGTACATGAAATTTCCTTCTATTACGCCTAGAAGCAGGGCGGCACGAGAATCGTGCTCGATCTGAAATTCCGTTTATCCCAATTTGAGTGTGAACGGTATCCTTTGGCACGGGGGGAAATAATTGACCACCACGTCGTTTGTATACTCCTGCATCACAGTGAGGGTGAACAACGTCACCACCGGTTGTAGAGATTGCCTACTTGACCTCAAGTATTAGTGTAAGTCAAACACGTCCAACGAAGAAGAAGAGGTACGAATGAGGACAACCAATTAGATTAGACAGAACCTAGCATACAAATATTGGTGCGAATAATTACTTTTTACTAACCCAAGTAATTAAATAAAATCATACTTCCCCGATCGGTAGAACCTTTCACGTATATATTTCGACGGAACAGTTGGTACATTTAATTTGGACATGCCTTAAAATTGGAAAAGAAGCGAGTAAAATTCTTTTGTTTTCTAGCGGACCCACGGGGTTGTGTGATTTGCTGAACCGAGTGAAACACCAAAATAAGAAATAGAATTAAACAGCGTCGCGCTGAGG